GATCTCTTGAGTTTGAAGCCAGCCTGGTCTACAGAGTGAGTGCCAGGGCCTACAGAGTGAGTTCCAGGGCCAGCAAGACTACACAGAGAAATCCTGTCTCAAAAAACAAAAACAAAATGAATGAATGAATGAATGAATGAATGAATGAATGAATGAATTTTAAAAAAGGAAGATATGGAAAGCAGGAGGGTGCATAAACTACACCATAAAGTAGAATATAGCCAGGCTGGCTAGGAAAACTTATTCTTCTCCTTTGCCCTTTTGGTAAAATGATTGTCATCTGTTCTGGGGTAGAAATTCAGTAAAAATGGTTAAAAGAGACAAATTATTACATTTGTACCCCCAATTCCTAAACTTAATTCCCAAGCTCAAGCTTCTGGGACTCAATGACCATCCCTTGCCATCTTTGGCATATAGCCAAGTATAATGGTGGAGTCCTTTACTCTTAATATCTTTCCATGCCTCCAAGAGGTACAAACAGATGGCATTCAAATCAGCCAACTGAACTACTCAGATGGCACTAGTAATCTGGATCAAGGGTGCAAAGGAAGTACACTTTCTTCAAGAGGTCATGACATTCCAACCCCAGTAGACTTACTAAAATATTTATAATTCACAAGAGACAGTGCTTGACCATCATTTCCTAAAATGATTTCAAGTGTGTTTATATTGCATTAAGTGTTCAACAACACAAGCATCTCAGGGAAGAAATTATGTAAGATATCATCCCTTCTCATTTCAGTGTACTCTGGCATAGGCCTGGGCACACAATATTAACTCTACAATTTCATTGGCATAAATATGCATTGTTCATGAGTTGAGAAGAGCTTCTGCTCACTCTGTCTGACTTGCAGTGGCTGGCACTTAAGAGGAAGAAAATTGAATGGGAAGGATTGTTTAATAGCTACAAAGTAGTACTTACTGTATTCTAAACAGCCAGTCTTCTGTACCTGTCTGAAGAGCTGAAGTTCAACCTGAACTGGGTAGATTTCTTGATGTCCTTCTCAGAAAAATAGTATCGTCTTCTCAGTAACTTTGAAGAACTGCTGTGGCGATGACTATTTTCATCAGCAATGTCACATTAAATACTCAGCAGCAGACTGGCAAGATGGCTGAGAGGGTAAAGGCACTTGCTGCCAAACCTGACGATCTGAGTTTGATCTCCAGGACCCAGAAGATAGAAGAACCAGTTCCCATTGCTGGTCACTATGTGAATGCCTGAGTGTACATGTGAGCACGCGCGTGCGCGCACACAGACACACATGCACCCACACACACACTCACTCTCTCTCACACACACAATAATTAAAGAACAAAACCAAAAAGCTTAAATATTTGACGGCCGCAAAACATCCTTTCCACTAGAGACAGGCATTTTCTTACTAGGCAGATCTCTCTTCAAAGTGTTCTCTCAAGTGTTGGCAGATATGTTTTAAAATGTAAAGTGGGGAAACAGGCTCCATTATTTTAAAGTTCCCACACTTTAGGGTGGTTTCAAGCTATGAAATCATTGCCAGCATTTAATGTCAGATATAGAGAATTAATCAAATGTGATGGCCACTTAACATGTTTTCTCATTTAATCCTTTCACAGCCACCTTTTGAAAATAAGTAGGAGCTGGTGTTCAATATGTCGGACCAAATTTAGAAAGTTTGGTCATTTTCTTAAAAGATAATGACACTAAAGGCCATAAAGATTGATTTTTATTTTTAAATTGATAGCACAGACCAAACAAACATACTGGCCCTAAGCATTCCACTCTACAACTGCTTTGAAGGTATCAGAATAACAACACATAATGACTTAGCCACAGACTCACCACCCTCAGTAAAATGAGAGACACTGCTTGGTGATCAGATATAGAATATAAATAGCTATTTTACTTCAGCAAAGCTAATGATCACATAATCAACTTCACCTTGAGATCCAAATGTCTTTCTTAAAGCATAAACTTTCAACAACTTTTCTGGCAGTTGGCACTGTACAGTAGCAATATACAAAAGAGAAACAAGTTTGAATTTCTTAAGCAGGCAGCTGGTTCCTGGAGGAAGAATGTAAAGAAAGTGCTAGCTAAGCATCCTTTCTTTTCTCTGGGAGACAATTTTCAGTTGATACTATGTAAGGAAAGCCCCAAACAAAAGGTGG